ATGCACAATAAAAATCAATGTCCACAATTCCTCAGGAAGGTGAATGTGTAACGGTGCGCTACAGGGGTAAGGGGTGATGGTAATGTGTATGTTTGACCTGTTTCAGCAGGCGTTCTCTTTCTTCCTGAGGAGAGCCAGTGCTTTTCTCCTCAGCCAACATGGCGTCCTTGCGCTGCTCCAGCTCCTGCAGCCGCTCATACAGTAACACGGCCTCTTGCTTCACCTGAGAGTGCATCAGCTCCTGAGATACCGAGAGAGAGATACATACAAAGAGACACACAGAGAGACAGTGAGGAAGACAGAGTTTAATTGAGTATGACAAGGTGTAAAACAAAACCCCTGTTTATAGCTGATCATTTCATGCAACTTGTATCTGGGTTGGACCTGATAAGAATTTAACCTCAACAAATAACACTTACATTATTACACTATTATACAGATCAGCGTTGTTCATTTTCTTATATTGGCATTCAATGCAAGAAGACAGCTCTTTGACCCTTGTGTGGTGTTCAGGTCTGTGGGACCCATTTTCAATGCTTACCAAAAGAAAAAAATATGCAATTTATTATTATTTCAGCCTCAGATTCTTGGCCTTTGCTCATTTTCTGTGAAGAACATATAAAATAACCCATTTTCAGTGTCTTCACTCTGTTCACCCCCCCAAACATTTATATTACACATGTGGTGTTGGGTGAACCTGCGGGGGGGGGGAAGTGTGGAGGTGCTGTGTCCTTCACTCTGTTCTCCTCCTACATGGCCTGCTGTTAGTGTGTGTGTGTATGCGTGTGTGTGTGTGTGTGTGTGTGTGTGTGTGTGTGCGTGTGAGGGTGGACAACATGGACAGGCTGCTGACTGGCTACAGCTGCTAAAGGAGAACCCTACGCTGGACACTTGTGATATTTTAAACATCTGGTATTTTTACATAAACTGTTATGGCTGTATTGATTTAAATAACAACAATGTGGTGGTCCACCAGACCACTGAGTAACAAACACATCAACACCACACAAGGGAAATTAGCCAAGACAGTGAATGAAGTAAAAGTTACCCAAACCAGCGCTTTATTTGGATAACTAGCTCAACACGCAGTCCGGCAAAGCAAGAACTAAAGGAGCAGCAATGCATATCGATATGAAGCAGATCTGCCACAATGAAAAATAAATAAAATGAAAAAATAAATGACTCAGTAAATGAATCAACCAATAAAAATAACATAAATAAATAAAGTATATATTGCTTATTTTCAGTGTAATTATACACATATTTCCTTTTTCTGCAGTTATATATTCCTCAATTTATTTATTATTTTTTTATAATTGCCTATGTTCATTTTTATATTTTTTCTGTATCTATATTTTTTAAAATTGTTCAGTTTATTTATTGATTCTTTAATTCATTTATTTATTTTTTTCATTAATTCTTTTATTTATGGGGAAATAAATAAATATAGAAATTAATAGTTATGGAAATAAACAAATTGAAAAAAAATGTAATAAAGAAACATAAATAACAAAATAAACAAATTAAAAAATTAGTGAGGAGGGGAAATTACTAAATAGACATAAGTAAATGCAAACATATTAATTTATTTATTGACATAATCATTCCTATGTATATTTATTTATTGTTAGATTTATCATCATTATTCTTTACAATTCTAATTCATATATTAATTTACTTAAGTCATATGTTTTTAATTTAACTTATTTTTCATTTTGGCAGATCTGGGGCTTCATATATCGATGTTGTCGGAACAAAACCTGGTATCTCCATTTTTTGTTGTTTTTCAGTTTTGGACATTTGAAAATACTTGTTGCTCTTTATATTGTATGTAAATTTCATGATGGATGGACCTAAAGAAACGGTCCAAAATTAAATGTCTGGTTCCACTGACTTACATTTAAAGTGAAGTATGTTTTTACCTTCTCCTGTAAAGGTACCATTTTGGAGATATGAGGTTTTGATCCGACAGCAGCGATATGTTAAGCAGATATAATCCTGATACTCAAGCCATATGAAGCGACCATTTGTAAACAGGGTCAAACATATGTATGTGTACACTTGTACTAAGTAGAAGGAGAAGGGATGACAACTACAACTGTATTGAGATCATCAGGAATTTGCCGCAATTGTAATCATTAGTGACGGTGCGAATATCCCAGCTTGCTCATTTCAGCTGCTTCCATATTACAGCCTGGCTCTCTGACTACTGGCTTTATCATGGGGTCATCAGTGCAGTCGGTCAAAGCCACCAGTGATGTTTGTGTGTGCAGCGTGTGTGATTTCGCTCACAGCCTCAAAAGTCTCCTTCCTGGTCATCAGGGTGTCCAGCTCCTCTTGACGAGCGTCCAGTTCCTGGACAAACACATTAGAAGATGAGGAACCTTTAACCTCGAGCAGAATCCAAGACGCCATAAACTTAAGATGCCCTTAAGGCAAATCATTTACAATAAGGGGTATAGGGTAAACACTATTGGCTCCTTGTGTAAAACACTAACCTACTGTCCAAAGTCTTTCCATGTACTGTGATCTGCTAGACTCAGATATGAATCCATTTAATAAAAGCATTTTTTTTTCCATTTTTATAGTTGGAGTGATTAGATATTACAGTTAAAATAGAAATTGCTCATACAAACACTGAAAAAATACAAATTACAAAGTTTCTTTGTTGCTTTCCAACAGCTTGTTCTAATCAAGCTTATCTTGAGAAAGACAATGTCACTCGTAAATATTTGTGGCAATATATTTTTGCCAGTGCTGTATATCATGGGCGGCACGGTGGCGCAGTGGGTAGCGCTGTCGCCTCACAGCAAGAATGGCCTGGGTTCGATTCCCGGCCGGGCGACCAGGGTCATTTCTGTGTGGAGTTTGTATGTTCTCCCCGTGTCTGCGTGGGTTTCCTCCGGGTACTCCGGTTTCCTCCCACAGTCCAAAGACATGCAGTCAGGCCAACTGGACATGCTAAATTGCCCCTAGGTGTGAGTGAGTGTGTGACTGTGTATGTCTGTTTGTCTGCCCTGCGATGGACTGGCGACCTGTCCAGGGTGTATCCTGCCTTCCGCCCAATGACAGCTGGGATAGGCTCCAGCACCCCACCGCGACCCAGTAGGATAAGCGGTTTAGATGATGTATGTATGTATGTATGTCTTATATCGTAGTAATGCCAAAGCGTACAAAATGTTATCCCCTTGGTGTGATGTCAGCACTCAACCCTTTCAAGTTATTATTATTAACTATTTTAAAGTTATTAAACTATTATTATTAAAAGAAAAATTATATTATATTACATTATATTATATTATATTATATTATATTATATTATTGGGTGACACATTATTTTGAGTGGTCCTTTTAGATGACACAAACACTCACAGACTCTCAGTAACATGTCAAAAACATATGAGGGTTAGGATTAGGGCCAGGGTGAGAATTATGATTAGGTTTTGGGTTGAGGTTAAGGTTAGGGTTAGGATTAGGGCCAAGATTAGGGTTAGGATTAGGGCCAGGGTGAGGGTTAGGCTGGTAAGGTTAGGTTTTGCGTAATGAGAGTAACATATTAACAAAACATCTACTTAATGTAAGTAATGTATTAACAGAACATCTACAAGATGTTTACTTCCATGTATTCCGATGCTTCACTACTGCTACTTCACTGATATGTTGTGAATGTGTTACTGATAATCTGTTAAGAGTTTATTAATCATTTATAAAGGACCACTCCAAATAAAGTGTTCCCTATTATTGTCTCAAATCAATATTTATAACCTACTGTTCATACAAAGCAAATACTCATATGAGCATGAAGCTGAGTGTTGAAACTGAAACACCCAAAGGACTAGCACATAGCTATTTTATACTAACAAAACATTTACAGATATTTTGTGCTTATTTAATTCAAAAGTAACTTAATTGAAAAGCAACAGCAAAAAATTTTAAAAGAAAGAAATGTCCCCAGATTTCTGACAGACAATATTTAAGCCAATGTCTGACTAATTCTTTTTATTCTTCAGTAGCAAACCTGTAGCAGCTCCTCATTAGTAGCCTTCATCTCAGCATACTTGGCTTGTTTCTCTGGGGACATCTTTTTTACAATGTCATCTGCTGCCTGTTTCTCTCGTTCAATCTCCTCCTCCACGGCCTGGATCATGTCCTCCTTCCTGAGAGAGATGAGCATCAGACCCATGAATGCAAAAATATGAAAACAGTAGCGTTGATAAAGAATCATTTACGGCTTCCTTAAGTTAATTTCCTATATTGATTACATGGTCAGCATTAGCAGGAGAGCAAAAGAAACCCTGAGTAGGCAGACAGCTAGCCAGCTATGTAGTTAGAAAGAGAGACAAACAGAGAGACAGACAGACAGGCAGACAGTCATACAGTCTGAGCACCCCTGGTCAAATTACATGTTTGTGAAAAAAGTGAACAAATACAGGGAACGTAAAATGCACTTTTATAGTAAGCAGTTTCTTCATTTTTCATATATTAAATGTAGCAAAGACAGTAAATATGCATTATTATAAATATACATGTAAATTCAACCAGGGGCACCAAAACTTTTGCAAGCAACTGTAGATAAACAGATAGATAAACAGACAGATAGACAGACAGATAACTAGAATTAGAGAGGCAAATAGACAGATTTTTATGGGGACAGTACATGAACACACAGAATGGGGAAAGGATTAACAGAATAAAAAAAAAATTGAAATAACCGACATGGACAAGATTACGTCAGTTAGAGGTTCTGAAAGTCGTTTTCGATTACTTTTCGATTAATCGCCCAGCCCTAACTAGCACATCTTTTACATAGCACACAGAATAAAACTTAAAGAACACTGAATGCAAAAATTCTGTCACAGTCCATGTAGATCAAAAACACACGACACAACTTAAACCTAAAATTGTCAAAAACATCGACAACAAATCTTTTACAACGTTTCCTCTTTAGCTGGCTGACATATTGCAGTGAATCTTTAGCCAGGAAGAAATTTCTTACTTTTATCACACTGAGCAAAGGTTCTTTAAGCAGCTCACTTCCTGTAAGATCTCTTTTATTACTCCATGCTGCAGGGCGACTGCTATGAGCTCTGGCTGAAGGGTGAGTGTCTCATAACTGCAAATTTGCTTTCATCTGTCCTGCAAGTCTTTCTTACATTTTTTTTAAATTAACAAGCTAGTCCCACTCTTTATTTGAGGAGTGCTGTTCATTGATAAATCAATGTTTTACTGTAGTACATGTACTCGATCGAAATCATTCCATCTGAAAAATTGATACATATGGTCGCTGTCCATCAAAAACCACGTATCTCCATTTTTGTCCATTTTCTATATCATTTCAACACACCAGCTGTCTTTTATGTTGTATGAATATTTCGTGATAAATGGACCAATAGAAATGCTCCAACATTGCTTGGAATAAAAGCTCTTTACATTAACTTACATTGAAGGATAAGAGTGTTTTTGCCTTCTCCTGTAAAGCTGCTATTTTGGAGATACCTGTTTTTCTTCGGACAGCGACGATGTATATTAAACTGTGGGAATATTTTTCTAACATACACAACCCGATGTGAAAGTGCTACGCTGAGCAATCTGAGCAATTTAGTCTGTATTATCATTCGCGTAATTCTAATGTACCCGTCTGAAATCAACATCTTGTGTCTTAGCGCATCTAAGTTGACTCAAAAACACTTTGACGATCTTTTTATTAGCATGGTGGAAGGCTGATTGCTTTATATGAAATCACAGTATCTTTAGTGTCTTATGTGCAGATATTTTCTTCATTTTCCACTACAGATCATTAAAAAACATGTCAGGAGTGATTAAAAACAGGTATACTGGTAACATAGAAGGCATTTTTGTTGAGCCACAGAAATTTAAGCATGTAGCCTCACTATAAACAAAAGTATGAGAGAAGTTCCTTCGTAAAGGAACATCCGGGATGGTTCAAAGGTTAAAATATCAACAGTGTGACCGAAACAGTGAGTCTCATTAAGTTCAGACAGTCAAGTCCATCAAAAACATGATACTCATTTACACGACACCTGTTGTAGTCAGTCTTGTACTGCGGTTATAAAATAATTAGGGATTGTCTTAAAGTGTGGATGTCGAGATATAGATGTTTGCCTACACATTGGCTGCCATAAATGCTATTATAATAATAAAACTTTATACCAGCAGTTAAATTGGTAGCTAAAATGGCAGCACCCAAGATGCACCGTTTTGATGTTTATTTCCTCAACATATCAAGTTCAGCTGTATAATAAACCTTAGACACTCTACACTGCAAGGTCTCTATTCTCCAATCAATGTCTCTGAACCTTAGCAAGCACATACGCCCATAAATAAGTGCCGTGCCTGAGTCAGCTATTTCATTGAATACATAACTGTGGTCACTACACCAACCTCACCATTGACCGCCTCCTAAAATGCTTAGGCTTTGTCCCAAATTCCTGAACATATTCAAATACAAAGACATGCATTTACAGTACTGTGCAAAAGTCAAACATCAGCCTTAACTGATTTCATTTCCAGTCAAAACAGCCACTAAGTATTAGTTATTCACTGTTAAAAATGAGAGGTCAGCTTATTGATGTAGTAACTGATCACATGGCTTTTCTTGAGTTGAATCAACTTGAGTTCACCCATTCAAACTTCATACTAGAGTCAAAAGTTATCTTAATTTTTTAGTTCTGCAGTTTTTTAGTTCCCAGTTTGGTAAATAAAATGAACTTCTTTTTTATACTCAACTTCCCCACCAGCCAGGATTCTTTCCATCACACAGTCCTGCTAGACATTCTTCCTCTTGGGTAACACTTACGGATGGCTATGGCATCGCTGGGGCTCAAACTCACAAAACCGCCTGCTGGGGTGACGGCTTAGTCTGTTACACCACTCAGGAACACATGAAGCAGCTCAGGTTTTGTGTCTTTAAGTGTTTAAAACACTGGAGAAAATATTTGTTGTTTTAACTCATTCACTAGGGTATATTTTGGTTTTTCAATCTCAATTTACCTGACCAAATCATAAGGCAAATTATTCAGTAACTGCATGAAATAAACGTATATTTATATTTAAGTTCCCCTCAAATTAACAGAACACGTGTTTAATGATCACACACATATTGCTATATGCTTACAATTTGATGCTGAAAGCCAAAAATCTTAGACGCTCTATGTATTATTTTATAAAAATATTTTTTACAGAGCAGATCACTGAAGAGACGCCATCTGTTTATAGTTTGTAGCCCAGATTTGTGGAAAAATGGGTCGACTTTCAGTATAAAAAAATTATTAGGGTTTAAAATTACATCACCCATCTATCTGACTGGAAAGAAGACAGTTACAGCTCTCATACGACCCCCACCTTTAGAATGTAGCTTATGAAATATGAACGTTATGAAGAATATGACGAAGTGCGATTTGGAACCACTGGTGGTTCCAAGGAGTTGAAAAGGTTAAAGGCTGGCGTCGTCTCATGTGGTGTAACTGTCTAATAACTCAACCCAACATCAGGAGGTTGTGAGTTTGAATCCCAGCAGTGCTGCAGTTGTCCATATCCAGAAGCCCAATGTCAGATGGGACTGTGTGATAGAAGGAGCTCCAGCTAGTGGAGAAACTGAGTAAAAACACACATTCAGTTTTGTTTATCTGACTGAGATGCAGACATAGAAACAGTAGTTTGAGTTGTGTGAACTCTGGTGTCCTCAAGTTCAGTCAACTCAAGAAAAGCCATTTAATCAGTTACTAAATCATTTTAAGTTGAGCAGACCTCTCATTTTTAACAGTGCTCCTTTTACAAGGAAACAAGACAGAAAATTACACTGAGGCCTTAATAAATAAATATATAATAAATATCTCATCAAACTTGTCAGTATTTGTCCACCCTTTGCCTTTATTACAGCTTCTATTTTGTCTAAAAGACAAGGAATAAGAAATCTGCAGGGATATTTTTCCACACACAAGTTCAGTCTTAGAAGTTAGTTAGATTTTCTGCTGCTCACAATGCAAATAATCCAAACACATTCAACACTGCTGAGGTCTGGACTCACAGGGGTGGCCAGGTCATTGTTGTTTGACAGCTACACATCCTTTCAGACCCACAGCACTGAGTCGTCTTCTCACAGTGGAAGGATGGACAGAAACACCTGTGGATGTTTTCAGATCTGAAGCAGCTTGATTTTCTCCTCTCTCTCAGAGATGAACGCTTTAAGTGCTGTTTATCTGATGGGGGCAGTTTTGTGTTTCTACCAGGTCTTGCATGGTTGTTAGGAGTCTCCTCTTCGCTGTACCTTTTTTATCTCCATTTTCTGTCTTATCTAGTCTGGGAAACTACTTTTTTCCTCTGACCTCCCCTTTCCTTACGCAAATGGATTATCTTACATCTAATCTCCTCAGAAATATCTCCTGAAAAATGAATTGTACTAAAAGCAGTTTAGACTCTAGATCGAATGAATAAAGGCTGTTCAACAGTACTGTGTTACGCATATATTATATGGACAAAACAAATACTGTGGTGCTATTGCTACATATTGCAATTGCCTTGCAGTACATTAAAATGCTCTGGTGAAAACTTATGGTTATCAGATCATATGAACACACCGATACATAATAACACCCATAGAAGATCTGGGGTTGCTCACAACATGCAATAAATAACATAGCCATTTCTGTGTGTGCTCACTTGCATATTGCAGCCTTCTGTAATTTTGATATTTGCAAAGCCTAAATGTTGCGGTAACGGTTAACAAATGACACACCGTGCAGCCTCAGCACATATGGTGTTCTTTGAAGGGTCATGTAAACAGTGAGACCTGGCATGTGACATTAATTCTGCCTCGGGCAGGGTGCAGGGACCACTCTCTTGTCCGGCAAGCGGGCCTTTGTTTACAATGAACGATGAAACAAACGTTTGTCTTCTGTCGGCCCAAGCGTTCATGTGGCGGGGCATGAAAACAGCCTGCTCCTCCGCAGAAGAACACTGGCCTACTTTGTGCTCTCTGGCAGTTAGGGCGCCCTACAAGTGGCTTTGTGGCTGACAGCAGATAACACACACACACACATACACACACTCAAAAAAACCCCACAAGCTGAGGCACACAGGAAGACAGCAAGCTTCTGCAGGACCAACCCATGTGCATAAAGATTCCCTTTGTGCTCTATTCATGGCCTCGTACTTAGGGGGAGTTTGGCTATTATTCTCATACAGCCATCCCTCTGAAGCAACTGGGTTCTGTGGGACTTTTGACAACGCCTTGTAACAAAGACAGATACCGACGGCGTATTCTCCCACAGTCTGTGGATTAGTGGCTGGTTTCTGTGGCTCCTGCGGAGTTGTGATGCTGGTGTGTGATTGCAGGTAAAGAAATGACCATGGCGATGAAAGAGCTAGTCTTGCTGTGGATGGCAACTGGGCTGGTGGCTTCAGAAATCATGGAGGTGGTGAGTGATTCACATCAAAATATTAATTGTGTTGTAAGAACCTTAAACTCAAAAAGGTTGGGACTGTATATGAAATGGAAATAAAACCAGAAAGTGGTCATTTGTAAATCCACTTGAACCTGCATTTCAACAAAAACATTACAAGGATGTTTAACCTTTACCTTATCAACTTGTAAACTGATATGGATGCCTGCAGCACATTCCAAAAAAGTTGTTGCACGGGCAATTTAGGACTAAGGATGCTGTGAAATGTGATGCAATCATATTTGGGTATAAAGGAGCATCCAAGAAAGGCCTCTGCGAGCAATGGTGGGTTGAGATTTGTCAAAAATATGCATCAGCGAATAATCCTTTCTCAACGAGTGAAAGAAAGGCTTTTAGTTAATTTACCCTCTATAGTGCATCTCCTCAAACGATTCAGGGAATCTGGAGAAATCTCTGCCTCTGTGTGAAAAAAAGACAAGCCTGCAAACCACAACCGACTGCCATGACCTTTGAACCCTAAGATAACACTGCATTGAAAACCTCCATGCTTCGGTGACACACATCACCCCATGGGCTCAGGTATACTTTACAATAACTTTACAATAACTTAATGACACCGTTTATCGTTGCATTCACAAATGCAAGCTACGACTGTACCATTCACTGTGGAAGTCAAATATCAACATTCAGAAATGCTGCTCACTTCTCTGGGCTCAAGCTTATCTAAGTTGGACTGACACATAGTGCAAATGTGTATCGTGGTCTGAGGAATGAAACCTTCAAATTGTTAATGTAATAAAATGGATGCCAATGTCGAAAAGGAGCATCCAGATTGTCACCAGTGTAAAGTTAAAAAGCCAGGGTCTGTCATGGTATGGGTGTCTACTAGGACCCATGGCATAGTTAATGTGCACATCTGTGAAGGCACTAGATTTTGGAGCAACATATGCCGCCTTCTAGATGATGTCTTTTCAGGGACGTCCATGCTTATTTTATTTTTAATTTTTTGGGATTTTTCCCCAATTTAGTGATCTCCAATTCCACCCGCTAGTTAAGACTCCCCCAATCACACAATACCACCTGCGCTAGGAGGGTGAAGGCTAACACGGGCTTCAATCGAGACCTGCAAAGCACCTACACATTTTTTCGAACTGCCGCTCAAACAACGTCACAGGACAGCCGAACGCGGTCGGTGGAAAGCGCCAACTGCCAGGTCTGCAACGTCAGCTATCAGATGCAGTGACTGGCCGGCTTGCATTCACACTTGTCTCACACTGAAAACTTGCAGCGCACTATGAGGCACAAAATACAGCTGCTTATGTTTGCACAGATATTAGATAAAGAACTGAAGAATGGCAAAAAAAATCTGCTTTCAAAACTGGATCAATTGGTGTTTTCAGTCCTCACATAAATTATGAAGAGTTGGAAAGTGAAAGGAAAAGGCTGTCCCAACTTTTTTGGAATGTGTTTGCTTAGATTTTAGCAAATCTTGCCCATAACAAACTCCATACGTGCATATTTACAAGGAGAATAACATGACTTTGCACTTTTCCTAGCCAGTGTTAAATATCCTGAATTACGCTAACAGTAGATGCAGTGTTCTTTGGAAAAAAGGAAACTGAAAGATCACATGATGCACCATGTGGTATATTGTCTGCTCAAAACTAATAAATTCAGTGTGCCGCTCATGTCTATATTTCAAGGTGGACGAAAGCAACAAGACACTGACGTCCATTCCTACCACCTACCATTCAAACACAACCAAGTTAATCCTACACCACAACTCCATCAACATGACCATCTTAGATGCCAAGGCCTTGAGCACGTACCCCAACATAACAGAGCTAGACCTCTCATTCAACCATATATCCGAGCTGCCTGCAGTGGCTTTTTCTGCCCTCACCAACCTGGAAGTTCTCAATCTCAGGGGGAACCGGCTACAAACGATCAGAAATGACACTTTCTCTGATCTAAAGAAGCTCAAGAGGCTGGAACTGCAGGAGAACCCATGGAACTGCACCTGCCTCCTTCTGAACCTCATAAAGCGGATAAATGACTCTGGAGTGCAGACAGGTAGGACCTAAAGTGCCTGCTTAGGTCTATTCACTTTAATTTCTTTGGAGTGATACCACAAAAGAAACACTTTTGGATCTCTAAAGAACCTCTCATCTTGATGGCTCTTTAAAAAAACTAATCTTAAATCACTTAGAAAGGTTCTTTACGCCAGTCGGTCCTCAGGCCCCCCCAGATGGTACATATTTTTGTACTATTTTGTGGTGAGAGTTGAAATCAAGCATACATGTGCACAGTCTGGGGGACTCAAAGACTGGTTTGAGAACCACTGCTTTTTTCAAAAAGCAAAAAGTGGTTGTTTCATGGCATCACTACAATTCCTATTAGGCATCTTTTTTAAAGAGTGTAACTGCTGTCCATGAATACTGAAAAAAAAAAAACTGTGTTATAATGTTTGTACTTGTAATAAACTTGTAATAAAGTTTGACAGCCTAATTACAGCAATTAGGTTGTCATTCTGAATGTTATATTACAATACTTTAGTCAATTCAGTGAATATTGCAAGTGCACACTGTTCTCTAGGCCAAGAGGCTTCAGAAGGAAAACTAGCCAATTACCTTGTTCTTGTAAACGTCAACTGATTTGTTTTCGAGTGTCACTTTGCCCCTTGGAACTGAGTTACGAGGGGTAGTGGTTGAAATCTTCCCTCTGAAATGGGACCCTCAGATAAAAAGAGCATTACTTCATTAACAGCTACCGGCGCTGCTCTGTAGGCGACGCTGCCAGTCTGCAGTGACAGCAGAGGAGGGTAAAGTTCAGCTCCACACTGCTGGGCTTTAGTTACATTTAGGGCATCATACGACTTCAAAGAGGGGGTATAAGAATTATTTATTATCGCCCACCACTAATTGTTTGGTGATATGAAGCTGAAGTCAGCTTTTCGCCAGCTTCTCGAATTTTCCCGTTCCACCTTAAATGGAGCAGCGGTTACGTTCTGGTGCTTCACGTGTCAGAACTGCTGTACTATTTAAGGTGGAACAGAAAATTTAGCTAGCTACCGAGACATCAGCACACTACTAGCGAATTTTTATGCTTGTTTTGAAGAAAAGGACCATAATACAGTGAAATGACATCAAACTAAGACAATACGATGGTTATTGGAATTTTTGACTGAGAAAATATTTACATTTGTGGGCCAACTTGCCCGTTTTTCTTTTTGGAGTGTGCCTCTGAAAAACCTCCGTTTGGAGGGTCATGTAGCCCAGACACTTCGCCCTACCCCTCTATCTCAACAAGAATTGGGACACCCTACCCCTAGACAAGAACTTCTAAAACGGAGGACTAGGGGCTAAGTGGTAGGGGCGAGGGGTGAAATGGGACTGGGCCTTAGAGTAATATAGCTCATGCATTTTACATTTCTGCAGAAGGAGGAACCTGTGCTGCTCCAGAGGAACTGGCTAAGAAAAGTGTCCCAGACGTGATCAGCGCATGCGCCTCAACAACAAAGCCACCCCCAGTTACTACCACCATCGGCCCTGTTACAACTGCTACTCCTGCTACAACTTCTACAGCTACTTCTACTGCTACGACAGCTTCTACAACTACGACTACTAAGGCAACAACGGTTACTACTACTGCCCAGCGGACATTACATGTAGTGTCATCCACATTAGGCAGCCCCAACATTTCAAACAAAGGTGACGATGCTCTTTTGCACCCTCTCAGCTTAAGTATGCCACTGTGAGAACTTCAAAATTCTTCCTTCCTTCTCGTTTAACTGAAAGATCCAAAAGTAAGAATGACAAGAAACACTAAGGCTCTCTGTAAAAGTACAGATTTGAAGTGACAGACACTAAACAGATCAGTAGAAATGTTTACAGCTTACAGGATGGTATTTATAGTGAAGCAATAGAACACTAGAGGGAGTGTGTTATCACAAAATAACGTCATTTGCGATAACACACTCCCTTGAGTGTTCTATTGCTTTTATACAACAGTTAAATAAATAAAGTAGTAAATTAATAAACTGGGCCGTGAACGCGGCGTTTAATATGTTTTAATGTTCGCAGTTCCTTCACCAAATTATAGTTCCTTAACAAGCAGCTTGTTGCTACGTCAGAGTAACGAACTCCGCCCACTCGCTGCACAGCCGGCAGTTCGTTCTCCAGCTCCTTAAACTAAATTCCCAAACTGTCATCACCACTGAGCAGCTTTTCAGTCGGCAGCTGAGACAGAAGAACAGCTAAACAACCTGGAATCTGCCAGAAATGAACCCAATACCATTCGCCAAACTAAACGGGCTGTAAGATGCTTTGCAGACTGGCTGGAACAAAACAACATTAATACTGATCTGGCAAAAATTGACAAAACTGAGCTGAACCTGATATTGCAGCAGTTTTATGGCTCAGTCTGATTTGGTCAGACTCTGAAGATCAGACTACACGTTTGGTGAATGGTATTCGGTTCATTTCTGGCTGATTCCAGGTTATTTAGCTGTTCTTCTGTCAAAGCTGCCGACTGAAAAGCTGCTCAGTGGTGATGACAGTTTGGGAATTTAGTGTCGTCTCATCTTCAGAGTCTGACCAAATCGGCTGTCAGTCAAATGTGATCTTAAAAGTGTCCGTTTTCTGTTTGTGGCAAAGTAAGAAGTAAAAACGTTCGAATGTCTTGAGCGTCTCCCACAGCGTCTCTCCCAAAGAGTGTTAATAACGTGGACAGACTTTCCAATAAGGACTACTAATTAGTAACTACTATGAAAGATGTAAGTTAAATGTGAGGATGAGTTTAAGAGGTTAACACCAGAATGTGTCTTCCTTCAGATTCCTTGTCAGAAGCTGGAAAAACTGGCAGGCCAGAGCCTGGGGTGAGCAACACCTGGAAGTTTCTGGCCGGTGTGATAGTCATCACTCTCTGCACCTCCATGTTCATTGTGTGTGCTGTCAAATCGCCCTCATGGTACAAACTGCTCTTCAACTACCGCCACCAGAGGCTTCGCGAGGTGGACGAGCCCAACGTCTTCAGCACAGGCCGCTACTCTAACTTCAGCCTGGACACGGAGCAGACGGAGACCAGTGCCGCCGAGCTGGACCAGGGCCCAGAGCAGCCGCTGGAAGACGAGGACGGCTTTATAGAAGACCGCTACATCCAGCCAGAGGACTACAAAGACCACACTGAGGACTACAAAGACCATGTTGAGGACTACAAAGACCATGCTGACGCTGATGAAGTATAAAATCTGACCTGAGAGGATGATGACTGAATTAATCATATGAATGTTTACCTTTAAAGACTAGCCATGACAAAGTTGAAGCATAAGCAGCTATGCTTTATACGTCTATCTAAAGCATAAGCGGCTATTAAAAGTCTGTACAGGCAAAGTTCAAAGCTTTCGGAAGCTGCAACCCTAGGAATGTTCGTGACTGCCTCTTTTCTCTTTATCAATCAACTAAAGGACTCGAGTATTTGAAACCTTCGCAATGCAAAACGAGTGTCTTTTCACGTATTCATTTCTGTACCAAAGATTGATAGCTAAGCTATCCAAACTCTGAAGTGAAACTGTAAATCACTTAGTATTAAAATGAGCTAAAATGTTGTTTGCAGTCTTGCACTGCAAATGACCTTCAGTGACGTCAGCCTTTCAGCTTTTAATTTTTTTTTTGTCGTTGAAAGTTCAGTGCGGGGATAGAGAGGGCAATAAAAGTGCCAAAAAATTAGTTATAGATTTTCTAGAGAGAGACTGAAGGTTGTGTGAGCTGAAAACAATAGTGAAAGAAGACATGAGTGCAAAGTACCAAAGCTTCTCATTCATTGCAACGGAACAGAGACCAAATTATGTCTAAATCAGTGATTATTTGTTTTTATCAGTATCACTCATGATGCCTGGCATTGTGCAACAGATGCTGTGTTGTGCCAAACACAATCACTATGTTGTTCCGCTGTATCTCTTTACAAACATAGCGTGCATTGTCAAAGGACTGCTGCACTAACAAGCTGTGCACTTTAACAATGAACTGCACTGAAAAACTTTGAGATCTATGATTTATAAGGACTACAGACCACTGAGTGATTCAAATTTAGTATAATAAGTATGTTAAGAAGTTAATAAAATCAATTTTGTAGATGCACTGAATTCTTCATGCTTTCGTTTTCTTGTTTCTCAAACAGTGCAATCACCATTGAGTACTGCACAGAACAGAACAGTGAAAGTAGATAAGGGTCCCTGGAGTGCCCTCTTGTGTATCGTATTAGAAAGGCATTCCTTGCTGTCAAAATAAGAGTCCTACACACTGGACACTGCCAGAGCCAGTTTATGAGGAGCCTGGCCACTTCCAATGTCCCCCATTGTGTATCAAAAACAGAACTGCATAACACCAGAGGGCGCCCGCGAGCGAGTCCTCAACGAATGGGAGTAAATGGCTAAAAACTACAAATTAAAATAGTTTCTAATCACTCGCCCAGAACTTTCCTTTAGTTTTAGAAAGCAGAAGGATGGATTTCACTAAAAAAACAAAGAAAACTCACCTGTATGTTTCTTTTTTTCTACAGCAAACAGGTTTTGGGCAGCAGGACGCTAACGTTACTGCTACTGAGTGCTGATTGGTTGGGGAGCGGAGCAGCTCATTGGCTGTTCGCGCTCACAGACGTCATGAACGTACATGAGGCGCTGTTTTAATCTCCTATAACTCGAGTTTAAAAGCTCGTAAAAATTTAACAGCAGTGTTAAAATGTTTTATGCTGTTCTGTGTTCAGGAAATTAATGTAATATTTTACATTAAAAGTGTTTAAGCATTTTATAAACTTTGATTTTAGTGAAATGCTCCATCTTAATCCATTCATTTTGCACTTGCTCGGGAGCGCCCTCAAGTGTCTGAGAAACCCGGAAGACATTACAGAGTGGTAATTCTCCTCTCTACAAGTTCTCTGGACACAGCAAAGATCATGCGGTAGATGCACGCATGTAGACGCATGCGCATGTAGACCTCGTCTGTCTAGGAGGCATGTACATAGTGATTTAATTATGCAGAAAATTTGAAAAACCAGTGGAATTTCCCTTTAAAGGATCATGAAACGGCAGTAAGGATTCAATACACTTATAGGACTGTGAAAATCAAACAAGGGCGTGCCATCTAACATGCACAGTAACAAAAAACAGACAAACTTTGGGTAAATGTTTATCTAAAAACCATTTAAAGATTTTTCCATCAGTTTATGTGATGTACACTGATCAGGCACTAACGTGTTAGTGTGTGTTGTGCTGGTACGAGTGGATCAGACACAGCAGTGCTGCTAGAGTTTTTAAAACACCTCAGTGTCACTGCTGGACTGAGAATAGTCCACCAACCAAAAATATCCAGCCAAAAGCGTCCTGTGGGCAGCGTCCTGTGACCACTGATGAAGGACTAGAGGATGATTAGCTCATACTGTACAGCAAGAGATGAGCTATCGTCTCTGGCTTTACATCTACAGGGTGGACCAACAACGCAGGTGCGTCTAATAGAGTGGACAGTGAGTGGACACAGTGTTAAAAAACTCCAGCAGCACTGCTGTGTCTGATCCACTCGTACCAGCACAACACACACTAACACACCACCACCATGTCAGTGTTACTGCAGTGCTGAGAATGATCCACCACCTAAATAGTACCTGCTATGTGAGGGTCCATGGGGGTCCTGACCACTGAAGAATATATTGTATGTTGTATGTCATAGAATATATTGTATTTAAGAATATATTGTATGTCATAATGTTATGGCTGATCGGTGTATTTCACTGTATTGGAAAAATTTAAATGAATTTACAAGCAAGGAGCTGAGCTCCGTCTGTCATTCACACAAACCAAAGGTGCTGAAGTTCCACCCCCAGTTTATCCTCTGGTCTTGATGTACAACCACATTAGAATTAACCGTGGCATGAAATACTACTAATAATACTGTATCACTAAAATACACTGAAGGAGCACTGTTTCCGATGCTGCGTCAGCCTCTAGCGTGTACTGCAGCACTGATGTTTGTGAGGACTTCAAAAGCACTTACTGTCTTCTTTCTGTAAATATGACGTCCATGCTTTGTGCTTCTCTGTCATTTTGGGCCTTCAGCTAAATGTGTGGAGAGAAAATGTGATGTAATCTTGAGATACTGTTGTAAAAACACAGAGATATTACACAATTCATTCAAACGTCCATAAAAATGTGATGATACTCACCATATTGAAGTCGTTCATCACTTCATCCATTTCGGTATTGGTGTTCAGTTTGTCAACCAGCTGAAAGTGTCACAATAAATATTTTATAAATATATAAATAGCAAATAACTTAAGCTGATTACTCCTGTGAAAAATGCATAGGGGTCTTTTAAGTTCCTTTGTTTACTCAACCATGGGAGTTGAACTGAGAACATTTTCTCATTTGCGCACACCCTGCAATTCCTGCACTGCTGAACAATGGAGCGGGCTCTGCCTCATTTACATGTCCGTTCAGGAACACTATGTATTACCTTACTCCGAATGGTTTACTTTGAGCTAATTTAGAACGAATAAACGTTATTTTGTTTTCCTCTATTCACACAGGTATTCTCGCGTACCATGTTGTAGTCAGCCAGTTGCCCCTGAAGATCCTTTATTTCACCAGCAAGGCCTTCTGCTCTGTGTGATATGAGAGAAAGCATGCGAACATGAGGAACATCATAAAAGCACAGGTACTTACTGTGCATGCTACCGCAGAGTAATCTGAACTGACCTTTTTTCATACGACAGGTAAACAGAGTTCTCCTGGTTGAAGATGTCGATTTCCTTCTGTAACTTGCTGGTCTCTGTTGTAAGCTCATTTATTTTACCTCTGTAGTAAGAAAGATGGAAATTCATAATATATATATATATATATATATATATACACACACACGATACAAGGTTTTCTTCCAACAACAGCGATAAACATTATGTGTGTGTATATATATATATATATATATATATATATATATATATATATATATATATATATGTATAGAGAGAGAGAGAAAGAGAGAGAGAGAGAGAGAGAGAATAAACCTACTATACTTTTAATGTAAGTCAATGGAACCAGACTTTTTTCCAAGTAATTTTGGGCCGTTTCTTTTGGTTCATCCTTCATGAAATTTACACACAACGTAAAGGACAACAGGCATTTACAAATTATGTCAAAAACTGAAAAATGACCAAAATGGAGATACCAGGTTTTCTTCTGACAGCGAGATACATATAAAAATATATATATATATATATATATATATATATATATATATATATATATATATATATATATATATATATATATATATTTTCACAATATATTCACAATATACTGGTCACCTGAGTAATCCAAGGTAGTATGACTTATCCAGGATTTGCCTCTGAGGTCCTGGGGGAATAGACAAAAAACATGACTTAATAATATAGTCATACAGTCATATAAAAGAATTTTAACAAACCCTAGTTAACCCTTGTGTGGTGTTCAGGTCTGTGGGACCCATTTTCAATGTTTACCAAAAGAAAAAAATATGCAATTTATTATTATTTCAACCTTGTCCTTTGCTCATTTTCTGTGAAGAACATATAAAATAACCCATTTTCAGTGTCTTCACTCTGTTCACCCCCCACACATTTATATTACACATGTGGTGTTGGGTGAACCCACGGGGAGTAAAAGCGTGGAGGTGCTGTGTCCTTCACTCTGTTCTCCTCCTACATGGCCTGCTGTTAGTGTGTGTGTGTGTGTGTGTGTATGTGTTTGTATATGTATGTGTGAGGGTGGACAACATGGACAGGCTGCTTACTGGCTACAGCTGCTAAAGGAGAACCCTACTCTGGACACTTGTGATATTTTAAACATCTGGACATTAATTTAAAAAAAAACAATAATGTGGTGGGTCTAATAGACCACCGTGTAACAAGAACATCAACACCACACAAGGGTTAAATTACCAGTTATGTTGATTTTCTAAGTGAAAATAAGTTTAAAAAAATCCTCTACGGAGAACAAACCTAAATAAGGCACTTTCTGTAAATTTTAGTGCACAATTATTATTGATTCGCTGAATTTTACACATTGAAAAACAAACATCAAGCATTAAAATGTGCCATAACTTTTGCACAGGTGACAAGTGATGATCTTTTCCCCAATATGTTAAATTCAGCAAAGAAACAGTGATTGTGCTTAAAAATATGCAGAAATATTTTCACTTAGAAAATCAACAAAACATGCCATTTTGCCAAGGGTCCTACTTTTGCATACAACAGTATGCAAAGGGCTTGTAATTCTATAATTCTTAACGCACCTTTCCCGCCTGTCTTCATGCCACTGAGACCCTGCTGAGTGACAGGACGATCGGTCACTTTTATCTGAGCTGACAAGACACCAGGAGTAGCGATGGGTCCGCCCCTTGTCCCAGGACGACCAGTCCCAGGCACCATCTAGAAGACGTAACACAGGTAAGTACACACACCTCAGCACACCAATGGGACACCACACTTTCACTGCAATCTTCATTTCAGGTTTAAAGGGTTTTTTATTTTCTGCATAATTATATAATTAAATGGTTGAGATGTAAACAAAGCCATTCAAAATGGTTGATGTGAAATGGTTCATTGTAGAGAACCTATCTACTCTGATTTCTTTACATGTCAATAACTCAAATGTATCGATTTTTTTGCTATTCAATAGAAACTGACTTTTAAAAAATATGTTTAATACCAAAACCTTGTCTCAGAGCAACTTTTAAACAATGTCTAAGGCATCAGAAAATGTACGTGTAACCATTTCATGAGCTTTCTGTGAGCTTTTATAAGCATTAAAGGGGTCAGTAAGCTTCTCTACAATGGAGTTTATATGTGCAGTAAGGTGTCCATATGTACAGAAACACACATACACACACACACACACATCCTCTAAACCGCTCATCCTTCTGGGTCGCGGTGGGGTGCTGGAGCCTATCCCAGCTGTCATTGGGCGGAAGGCAGGATACACCCTGGACAGGTCGCCAGTCCATCGCAGGGCAGACAGACAGACATACACATTCACTCACGCCTAGGGGCAATTCAGCATGTCCAATCAGCCTGACTGCATGTCTTTGGACTGTGGGAGGAAACCGGAGAACCCGG